AAGATGAAGAAGTAGAGGATTCAAGCCTAGGCTTGAGAGTTAAAGTACTTAAAGTTCTGTTTGCAGAATGAATTTCTATGATAATAATACACAATGTGACTTCATGGAATTAAAAAAAAAGAAGAAAACCCCTCACACTTCACTGCAATAACATTTGCTACATGAGCACAGGCTTCATGTTAGCCTTTCCCTGTGGAGTGTGGAGAGCTTTTCAGTTGCACTCCCTCCCAAGTCCCATTTTATTTTTTATTTTGTTGTCTTTTCAAAAAAAAAAAAAGAAAAGTCGGGTTGTGTTGATTACCTGTTATTGCTTTCAGATAAGAGCATGCTTTCATTTACTGAAATTAGATCCCCATTCACTGCCTTGGCACACCCTGGGCTGTCTTCTCTAGAGGGTTTGGGGCTTGTTAGATAGCGCACAGTTGGAAATCGGTAGCATTGAGCGGCTGCCAAGACTGACAGGCCTTTAAGATGGCATCTGGTGACCTTTTTGCTGAGCCCCTTGGGTCCTCTGTTTGATATTTGATGTTTTCGGCAAGGATATAATCGAAATCAAACGTGAGATCTAGTGAGCTGGAACTACATGGGAGGTGGGTCCGGTGGGGGGATCTCTGCATTGTTTTGGGAAGGGGATGCCTCTAGATGCCTTTGCAATGTTTCTGTCTAACCCTGAGACTCTAAGCTGTAGCAGAGAGTGGCACTAAAGGGCTGGTTTGCAGAATGAGACAGGGAACAGTTGGGTAGTCTACATTTACTTATCATTCAGCAATACAATCATCCTCTATAATGGCTCTAGTTCCCAGATGACCCTAAACTCTTCAGCGTGTCCCTGAGAGCAGCAGCTGAGGGTAGAAGTACATAGGAGGATGTCAGCTCTGTCTTGCTTCCAAGAGAGTATTCATGGCATTTTTCTAGTCTATTGAAATTGCAGATTTCTATTTTCAGTACTGCAGGTAGATAGCACAAAAGCATAGGAGAGCTGTGAGTTTGTGAGCAGCAGAACAACCAGCATGTGTTGACAAAATGTTTGTGCTAATGTCAGACACATGCTGTTTCTCAGCTGCAGAGTCATTTTCATGATAATTTTAAATTGCTATGTATGTTTTTTTAAAAGGTTTTATTTTGAACAGATAACAGGTTATTTTTGGTTTTATATCTACTATGCTGTTTTAACAGACAGGCAGATACATTTCACATTTCTCGGGCAATTCTGTCCTGACACTGCCCACAGAAAGATTTTGAAGGTCATAGAGCGAAGATGATTTATCTCCCTTGGCCTTGGGAAGAGCTGACTCTTTGCCCCTCTGTCCTGTTTTGCCTATAAATCCTGCATTACCTGCTCTGGTTGCCTCCTCCTCTACTTCCTACTCCTCACATAATCCCAAACCTCCACGGATCCTCCCCTGACTCTTCTTCGGGCAGTAGGAGCTCAGGTGCAACCAGGCAGACAAGTTTAAATTCTGGCTCCACTTCTGAAAAGTCAGGTAGAATCAGACAAATCAAATGAACTCTCCAACCCTTAATTTCTTTATCCTTAAAATGAGAATAATATGAACACCTAGCTATAGGGTTGATCCAAAGGTTAAATAAACTAGTGTATGTAGCTGACTATAGTTTGACTATCATGTTGTTAAATGCTCAGTAGCACCATTATTTTTGCTACAACTGCAAACCATAGCTCTTTCCCATTAAGTTTTTTTGTGGCAAAATTTGTGTATAAGATTATATATATTTCCATTATACAACATTATAATTTGATATCTGTGTCCACTACATAATCTTCACCACAGTGAGTCTAGTTACCATCCATCACCATACAGTCGGTCCCCTGTGCCCCTTCCCCTCTCCTAACCACCAGTCCATTCTTTGTATCTATGAGTTTGTTTTTGTTTTCATTGGTTTGTTTAGTTTTTTAGATTCACTTATAGGTAAAATTACATGGTATTTGTCTTTCTTCATCTGCTTTATTTCAGTAATTTCTCTTATGAATTTTGAATAGCCCTAATTCTTTATAACATTTACTTGATATTTATCTCTGTGCTAATTAGGTGTGTTTCATTATATTTATAGAAATTGTATATCAATTTCTTTAAATACTTTATAGAAATATATTTACATGCATATGTATCATGTCATAAGTGTACTCTCACTGAATTTTCACAAACATGATGCTGCCATGCAAAAATCATCCCGATCAAAAAACCAGTATCCCAGAAGCCCCCCTGGTATTCCCTCCTGGGCTCTGCAACTCTCGGAAAGATAACCATTATCTAGAAGCTATGTAATTTCTTGAAGCAAGTTATACCAGTTGTTAACTTTATTACTTGTGTTATTTTGGGGCAGCCATATGAATTTTTTTCTTGAGGTCAGAAACCATATGTCACACATCTCCTCTCACTGCAAGAACTATTTGCTAAATATGCATGTTTTTCTTCTCTATTCCCATCTTGCTCTGTTGTTACTTGATTGCACCTGTCTGGCCAAGCCCCAGGCCTGAGCATGCCCCACCGCCTGTCTTCTTCACATCTTCACAAGAACTACTAGGCGATACTAGAGGAATCCATTCACCCTCTCAGACTGACACCACAACATCACCATCTCCTGCCTTCACTGACACTCACTTTTGCCCAACCAACCTTTCTGCTCTTTCTGATCAGCTGTCTTCTACCCTTCGTAGCAGCTATTTCAAGCCATCTACCCTTCATTAGACTTCCTACCCCAGTATTTCCCTCTTGAGAGCCAACAGGTAACCATATAGTATAAGTCAAAAAGAAAATTCAAGCTGTCAGAATCTAATCAACGTCCTGTTACCAAATGTACAAATAAATCTGCCTACATTCTCACTAACTCACTACCTGAGGTTTCATTTCTGCCACTGTTCCCTCAGTGACACCCCATTTCACTTTGTCAGGGTTCATCTTATTTTATCAGTGAAATCCTCTCCTTTTCTCTGGTTCTGGTGGCTCTTCACCATTGGGATTTAAATATATTAAAGTCCCTACTATCTTTCAATAAGGTACTAACAAAGCCCTATCTGAAACCCACATTGCTCCTTAGTTACCACCCCATTTCTCTCCCCTCTTACAACCAAACTTCCTTATAGAGGTTCTTGTCCTCAGAGGTTCTTTACACTTCTTGTCCTCAGTTTCTTGTCCCTGCTCTTTTCCAACCCACTTCAGTCTAGCATCACCTCCATTATCTCACTGAAGCTCCTTTATCAAGATTCCAGATAATGTCCTTGTGGCTTAAGTCAATGGGCATTTTTCAGAGCTTACCTTTCTCTGGAGTACTGGACACTGTTGCTCATGCCTTCTGCTAGAACCCACACTCCTGCTTCCCCACTACCATACTGAGAATTTCTCCTAAATCTCCTTTTAGGGCTCCTCCTCCTTTTATAAATGTAGATGTTCCTCAGACTTCTTGCCTAGGACTTCTTTCCTTCTCACGCTGCCACAGCCAGTAGGATTACTGTAGAAAGTATACATATATTTAAATCATTGCCTATGGTTTGGTTTTAATCAAATCAACAAATACTGGGGCAGTTGTTTTATGCTCACAAAGTATAACATGCTTTAAAATAGATCCTTTTTACTGTACCAATAATAACATCTAGAATTTATAGAATCCATTTTAGATATAAGGTATAACTATTTTAAAATTTATTTTTTCTGATTATAAAATAATATTTTCTCATTATAAAATTTAGAATAGTTTTATAAAGTATAATGTGATATAATACAATATAATAGACTGTAATGGAATATACTAAGTTTTACTACCCAGAGACAATTACTATTTACTTCTGGCATATATCTTTCTAAATATACTATATACTTTCACATATAAACACCTATACTCACGTACATGCTTTGTACATACAGTTAAGATTGTATTTTTCACTTATTTGTATAATTGGACATTTTTGTGTCATTAAAATTATTTCTATTTTAATGGATCTGTACAGTCCATCATATGAATACAGAACAAAATATTCAACATATCCATGTATTACTAAGTATTTAGTTTAGTTTTTTTTATACCTCCCATTCATTGCAATGAGCACACTGTTGTCCATGTCCACAAGGACATGGTTAAAGACTGTCAACTTTCTAACTAATACATTCTGTTGGGTCACCCATTGTATTAATTATATTTACTTATGATGCCACTAGCATTTTTATTCTCAAAACAGATTTTTTATATTTAAAATTGTACCTTGTAATTGTTTTGACTTGTAATACTTTAGTAATTAAATAAGTTTGGGTAATTTTTTTAAATATTTTATTTGTTTATTTTTAGACAGAAGGGAAGGAAAGGAGAGAAACATCAATGTGTGGTTACCTCTCATGTGCCTCCCACTAGGGCATGTGAAACCCAGGCATGTGCCCTGACTGGGACTCGAATTGGTGACCCTTTGGTTCCTAGCCCGTGCTCAATCCACTGAGCTACACCAGACAGGGCAGTTTGGGTAATTTTTTAATTTTGTTTATTATTTGCATTTCTTTGAATCATTCCTATAGACTTTTTCCTTTTCTTTATGTAATATTAAACTTAAATGGAAGATTAATTAGAGAAAAAGAAGTCTCAAGGTAAGGAGTTGAGGACAGATAGAGAGCAAAACTGGAGCTGGCAAACTGCCCTGAGTGTCTTCCTTTTCTAGTTACAAACACTAAACATGCCTTTGAGACCTGTAAGCAAGATACGTGATAATCTATAGAGTTCACTTTGGACACTGCCATTACTTACAGTAGGAGTTTGGGAGCAGATGGACAGATTATCTTTATGAGTATGAGAAATAGGATAGGGGAAAATAAAGCCTAAGGAAATAACGCCCTGTCCATGGTAAATGATCCACAGACCAATAACCGACATGTACTTCTTCATTCCACTATGCTTGATTACCACGGTTCACACCAACAAACATCTTCTGTTTCTTATGCCAGCCTATTGCATGCGAATCTGCCCTGTAAGTAACAGAATGCAAAGTCATTTCTTCACAGCAAGGAGAATGAGAACTTGAAGCCAGAAACTCAAAGAGCGCTCCAGAAGTCTGTGACTGGTAATACAAAGCAGATGAGCAGAGACCCCCGAGGTTCCAGTAGCCCCACTCTGATTATCAAATCAATCATGACCCATATGATGTGGAAAAGAACAAGCACCCAGAGAAGAACCAGAAACCAGAGAACCACCAGAAACTCCTAACGGGAGCCCTCAGTAGCAGATTTCTGGATGGCAGAGTGAGTGGCAAATACCTCATTTTTTTCCTGGTAATTGGCTAGTCAACAAATTCAGAGTTAAGATAGAAGCATAGATCCACACTAACACATACACGTGTACTGATGATAATTAATGTACTTTGCATGAGATACAATTAGAATGAAATTTTTCATTCTGAAGTGAATTTTGAGGTTGTTGAGTATATTGCGCCTTGGTTGGTCACCAGTTGAGTTGGTCTGTGGCTCACTCAATGACGGTCACACTAGGGTAACTATCACTGTACATACTAATTTGGAATAGGTTGGTGGGCAGAGTGTCTGTCTTCTTTAACATTACAGAGAGAGATTGTTTACTTTCAAAATCCAGTGCAACCATATGTAGATATCAAAATATTATCAGCCCAGAACTATCTGGATAAAAATCTGTATCACTGCACTCTGTTAAGAATCAACCAAACAATCATCCACAACAAACTAACTTGATAATGATGAATCTACATGATTGCAATTTAGCAATTTGTAATTAAAAAAACAAGAATAGCAGCAATTGAAAACTGGATCCAAATCAAGACAAAACTAACAATTCATTGATAACAAAGTACCATTTCCAAAGCTTGCTGAAGTGACAATCAAATGGGTAAGCAGCGCAGAAATTCTGCAGCACTGCCAAGCATTATATGATGGCCAGATATTTTAGTAGCATACTGAATTAGAATCTCAGTATACTCTAACATACTATTATTAGTTTATAACTTTAATAGCCTCTACTAAAGCATTCAGATACAAGCTAGTTTTAGTTATATGAGATAATAAGAGCCTATGATTTATGACGTTTGTTCATAAGAATTCTGAAAAAAATTGCAATGTGGAGTGGTTAACAAAACACCAATAGACCTCAGACCATACTCTGAAAGGCCTACTTGAATGCTGGAGTCCAGAAATAAAAGGGACTTGCCCAAAACATAAATGGCACAGCTGTGCCGGAACTCAAGCTTCGTAATCCCCAGTTAATGTGTTCTTTTATTTTCTCATTATGAGTCCTTGAATTCAGGACTTGGTTGGAGCAGAACAATGTATCTTCAGAGATATAAAAATCTACTCTGAACTTCTAAAGACCTCTGAGTTTCTACCTGACTCTGGCACTAATATATTTGTTGTTGTCGCTCCCCAAGGATGACCTTGGTAAGAATATTATAGTTATAAAATACTTTACTATCGCCTGATTGCTTTCAGGTAAATTGTATCATTTGCTTCTTGGACTTAGCCTGTAAAGTTATTTCTATTACTATGATATAGATAATAAAACTGACTCTGGAAAAACCTGAAGTGTGGATAAGATGTTTACCCAGATTTTCCCCTTTTCTCTTCTTAAAACTTTTATTGACTTTTTCTAATTACAAAATATTATATACTCATGTAGAAATTTTGGAAAGTGGAAGAAGAATACAACTAAGCAGAAAATGAAAATCAACTAAAGAAAAACAGTAATATATTTCTCTCTCTTATTTTCCTGCACATACAAGTATAGGATGAGGATCATGATGTACATCCTCTTGTTATCCTGTTTCACTCCAAAGCAAAAATTGTGCCCCAGCTTCAAGCAATTCATCCTAAGCCTCCTCTTTAATGGCTCTATCAGAGTCATACTCAGAATTAACACTTAGATAGCATTTACTATATGCTGGGAGATGCTCTAAGGTCTTTACTCATATTAACTAACTTCCCACTCTCAAGCACCCAGTGAGGTAGGAACACTTATTACCTTCAGTTCATGGGTGACAAAACTAAGAAACAGAGAGTTCAAGTGCTTCGTCCATATCTTAAGACTGAGAAGTGGCAGAGCCATAGGTGAAGCCCAGGTTCAAGGGCTCTTTACAGGGCTATAAATTGGCTTAGTTAATTGATCCTTTATTATTGGGAATTTAAGGCACTTCTAGTTTTTCTCTTATAAATAGAAGTTTGTTTCTTCATATGCCCCCTCCACAATGGGTTGCCCATTCCTGCTATAGACTTCGCATCAGCCATTATAACAGGCAGCATGTTCATTGGATAAGCTGTTTATGGACCTTCATAACCTGGACTCTTTGCTAGCTCTGCAGTGCCAGAGGGAGAGGAAGTGCCCCCCACCCAAAAGAAAAAAAAATCAACATTTCTTCTGAGAGGCTCAGCAAGGCTAACGCTCAACCGCCAAACACAGCAAGGCCTCGTGGGAGGTGTGGGTCTAATTGGTTCTGTCTGCCGACTGTGTGGTACTGGTCGGCCAGATGGCAGCCACAGTTGCCTGGTACAGAGACCCTCATTACCACCTTGACAAGTGGTAAATGAAATCAGGCCTTAGTGGAAAAAAAAACAATTAGAACTCCTTCCAGATCCTCATCCCTCTCACATAGATGAAAATAAGCTTTCCTGCATGGTATGTAACAGACAGTCTAGACTGGCTGAATTTGCTCCAAAAGAGAAGTTGATGATAAAGATAGAGCTAACATGGGTGAGGATGGGCAAGTGTGAAACTCTTTTCTAAATTACAGATCCAGTTTGAAGGGTATCATTAATAGGTGATAAGTACAATAGAAAATGTTAAGCGAATCCATCATTTCATGAATGTGAGAACAGTAAGCTATCTCAGAAATGAACAAGTATAAAACTTCATTTCACAAATGAAGAGTGAAAGGCTCAGAGAGCTTAGTGATTTGTTCAAGGTCTCACAAGTGAGGGGCTTGGCTCTTCTCACCACCAGCCCTAGAATCTTTTTATCTACAAATTCTGCTCCTTATGTGTTTTTGAAAATATATGTATATATGTTGTTTACATTGTTTCTCAGAATCATCAGCTCTGCCTTCTCTCAGAAAATAAAAAAGAATGTGTGACTAGCAACAAACTCAGTAGCACAGTTTCAAAAATAAAATTAGAGTGTGCTTTTTGTATCTGGCAGCATGAAACTGAAAGTGTTAGTGCTTTAATTTTAATACATACTACAGTTGATTGGTGGTGTTTTTTCAAACTCCTTTTGTGTGTTTTATCATGCTTGTTCTGCATAATAGTCCTCTGAGGTAGGGAGAGACACAGGATGTTATTCTCATTGAATAGATGAATAGAAGGATGTCAAGAACATTTCCAGTTGGCTGTGCATTCATTGGCAGCTCAGATTCAACATGATCAAAGCAAACCTTTGATTCTGCTCTTCATCTTGTGGTCTGAGTCTCATGGCTCTCACAGTTGCACCAGCAAGAAACCTGGGTATGCTTTCCTCCTGTCTCTCCCTAACTCTGATATCCATCCAGTGTCTGAGGCCTTTAATTTCTACCTCCTTTATGTCTCTCAAAACTGCCCTCTTACTTAAGTTTGTTCTGCATCATCCTAGTCAGACCACTATTATACCTGAGCAGGAAGATTTTCATTATCTCCACATTGGCTTTCCTTTTCTATGTCCCCTTCTCTGTATGGGTCAGCTATTACAATATGTCTGTATAACAAATTACCCCAATACTCAGTGGTTTATAATAATATTATAGTTATGCTCATATCTGCAGATGTAAGCTAAACACATCTTACTTATTTCAGTTGCACTTTCCTAAGCTTAGCTGTAGACTGCAAATTTGATTCGGGTCTGCCCTGTGTTTTCGCTATTGGTCTGAATCAGTAGGCTCTTCAAGGTAAGTTCTTCTCATGGTAATGAAAACATTCCAAGAGGACAAACTCAACCACAAGTACATTTTAAATCTTTATTTGTGTCATGTCCATTAAACTCCCATTGGCCAAAGCAACCTACATGGCAAAGCACAACATTAATGGGTCAGACACATACAGGCTATCTCTTTTAGGAGAAACTTTAAAACCACAGATCCAGTGTAACCCCTACTTAAAATATTTAAAACCACCATTTAGTTGTCATTGCCATAGCGTAAATTCAAATTCTTTGACTTACCATTTTAATGCAACTTTGTCTACTCTCTGCTTTCCTCTCATCTCTACCTTTCACTAAACTAAACTTCAGTTTCCCAAATAGAGCTCTGTTCTCTATTATCTCCTATCTTTTCCCCTATGCTATTCTTTTTATTTGAAATTATCTTCCTGCCATCTTTATTTAACCCTAATTATCCTGGGGTCTCACCTTAGACACAGGCTCTATCAAGAAGCATCAGCATCTGATCACCAAGACTGGGGCAAGTGCCTTTCCTAATGTACTTCCAAATCAATCTATGTATAACTGTAAAGCAGATGTCATCATATTATTTAAATAGGTTGTTTCTTTCTCTATCTTCCTCAGTGAGTCTGTAAATCCCGAAGAATAAGATTTTGTCTTGTTTATTGTTGTTTCCAAAATTCTCTCTCAATGTAGTAACCCAAAGCCCAACCTTATTTAATGGAGAAATGCTAGAGGCTTTCACATTAGTGTTTGGAAGAAGTCAATGCATGTTTTATTTCCATTGATCCTTAATATTATGTTGGAGGTATTAGACAATGTAATTAACCAATAGAAAGAAATTACAATAATTAGAAAAAAAGAGGGAAAACTGTTTTCAAATGATAAGACGGTGCACATAAAATCTCAAAATAGCTAATAAACTACTAAAACAGTAAGATAATTTGACAAAATAGTTATAACATTAATATACATAACTCAAGACTTCATATATATAAACAAACACCAGTTAGAAAATAAAATGCAAGACACCATTTATAATAGCAATCACCACATTTTGCTGTGCATAATGCCCGACCATGTTTTTGTGCACATTATAGATGGGATTATTATACCCATGATACATAATAACTATACCCATATACAATGTGCATCCTTATTTTTCCTTCAAAAACTTTGGCAAACAAGTGCACATTACACACAGCAAAATATATCCCTTCTCAGCAGTTTGGCTAAGATCAAGTGTAGTATACACAGCAAAATATGGTAAATGAATAACTAAATTTATAAGTCAAATGCTTAGATTTAAACTTAATAAGAAATGTCTAAACTTTTATGAGAGTAAATATAAAATACTCTTGAACAATACTAAAGTAAA